TCGCTGGATCTCCGCTCGCTCTTCCCCTCATCGCGCCATGTCCGCAGTCGACTCGTGGCACTTCTGTGCCAAGCTCGCCCACCAATTCATGAAGGGTAGGGGTGCTAACCTTGGCCAGGACCTTCGAGAGCGCAAAAAGGCCCTCCTACTGGCTATCCAAGCCCTGGATGCCTGTGCCGACACGTCCGGGATCTCCCCGGATGAGTGGATGCTGCGATATGACCTTGAAGACCAGCTCTCAACCATTTACACGGATGAAGAGGCCTACTGGCGACTGCGCGGTACCCAATGGTGGGTGCTTCGGGGTGATGCCAACACCGCCTATTTCCAGGCAGTGGCGAACGGCCGGCAGCATCGAAACTCCATCCACTGCCTGTGGGATGGAGACACGCCTCTTGTTTGCCCCTCGGCCATCCATGCCCATGTAGACGGCTTCTATAAAGCCCTATTTACCCCACCCCTCGGGGTGGGGCTAGTCTCGCCCCCGACATTTGGTCGGGTGATCAATTGGTCTCAGTTGAGGCCAATGCGGCATTAGTGGCCCCCTTCTCCAAGGATGAGGTCCTCGCGGCTATTAAAGGGATGAACCCCTCCTCGGCCTCAGGACCGGATGGCTTGCCTGTAACGTTCTTCAAAACGTTCTGGCCGACCATCAAGCCGGAGGTCATGGCCCTGTTTGAGGAATTCTACTCGGGCGCCATGGATCTTGGGTGTCTCAACTATGGTATCGTGACCCTCATACCCAAGGTCCCGGGCGCCTCCGACATCCGCCAGTTTCGTCCAATCACAGTGATTAATGTGATATTCCGGATCCTGGCCAAAGGGTACACCAATAGGATGACCCTGCTCGCTGACGCGATTACCCATCCCAACCAATCCGCCTTCATACAAGGCCGATTTATTCTGGATGGGGTGCTGGTATTCCACGAAGTCCTCCATGAGGTCCGGATGAAACGCCATCGGCTGGTCTTTCTGAAGCTAGACTTCCACAAAGAGTACAACATGGTCCACTGGCCCTTCTTGCGGGAAGTGTTGCTTTGCAAGGGCTTTGATGACCATTGGGTGACTCGCGTCATGCAGCTTGTCTCCTGTGGCCGGACCGCTGTGAACATCAACGGTGACATTAGGCCCTACTTCCCCACCCTCTGTGGGGTCCGTCAGGGTGACCCGTTCTCGACGTTCCTGTTCAACATGGTGGTTGATGCCCTGGCATCCATCCTTGATAAGGCCAAGGATGCTGGCCATATTTGTGGCATCGTCCCCCACCTAGTCGAAGGGGGAGGGGTCTCCCTCCTTCAATATGCGGATGATACCATAATAATGGTGGAGGGCTCCATCCAAGACATTGCTAACCTGAAGTTCCTCCTCCCGTGCTTCCAACAGATGTCGGGCCTGACCATCAACTTTGATAAGAGCGAAGTGATGGTTCTCGGGTTCCCCCCGGAGGAAGCACGGGCTATTGCGGACCGGCTAAATTGTCGGTTGGGTTCTTTCCCCACGACCTACCTGGGGATCCTCATTAGTGATTCACGCCTCACCATGGCGGATTTTCGCCCCACGGTGACCCGTACGCAACACCGCATTGAGCCCTGGAAAGGGCGCTGGTTGTCGAAGGTTGCTCACGTGATCCTTATCAAGTTTTCCCTTGCCAGCCTTCTTTGGTTCCTCATGAGCTTCTATAGCCTCCGTGAGACCCTTCATCAAGAGATCGCCAAATACCAATCCAGATTCTTCTGGGCTGGGGAGGGGGATAAGCAGAAGTACCATATGGTAAGCTGGCCCGGTATCTGCAAACCCAAGGACCAGGGTGGTCTTGGGATCTTGTCCTCCCGACGCATGAACATTGCCCTCCTGACCCGTTGGCTCTGGCGCATTGCCAATGGCGATGGAGGTCTTTGGCTCACCATCATCCACAACAAGTACCTTCGAGGACAGCCTCTTGCATTCTGTCAGCGCTCGAGCGGCTCCCAGTTTTGACAGGCCATCGTCCAGCTGCTACCTGTGCTTTGCATTGGCACATCCATCTCGGTTGGTACTGGGTCCTCGACCCTGTTCTGGTTTGATCGGTGGATTGGCGACACCCCCCTGGCTGCACGATTTCCGGAGCTCTTCGCCATTGCAGTTGACCCTCGTGTCTCTGTCGAGACGACCCTTATTGACTTAGGGTGCCTCGCTTTCCGCCGCCCCTTTGGCCCTCCTAAAGTTGCCTCTTGGGATGCCCTCCTTCAGGACATCGCCCTCCTCCCTATGGACGGTGTTGTCACCCCGGACGCCATCTCTTGGCGTCTGAAACCTTCCGGCTACTTCTCCACCAAATCCCTCTACGCGGCCATCGCCCCCTCGATGGCCCCCGAGCCCTTTAGTTTGATTTGGGACGTCCGCCTGCCCCTGAAGATCAAGATCTTCCTGTGGCAATGGATCCGAGGCCGCCTCCCGTCTGGTGTGGAGGTCCTTAAGAGTAATGGACCTGGGGATGGGATGTGCCCCATGTGCGACATGGTGGAGGATGCTAACCACATCTTCTTCTCGTGCTCCACGGCTCAGTTCCTTTGGTCCTGTTTCCGCGAGACGGTTGGGGGCCAGTGGTGCAACACCAACTTCCCTGACCTGCTTGCGGAAATTCACGCCTCCCCCCTCGCTACCGCCATAATAGATGGCTTTGCATTAAGGTCCTTGCCTGGACACTTTGGACCGTTCACAATAAGCTTGTCATACAGAAGGTGCCTCTTCGACGTGCTACTGACGCCATCTTTAAAATGTGTGGATACTTGCAGCTCTGGCGACCGCTTAGCCGCCCCCAGGATTGGGACGTCATCAACAACCTCCTCGCTGGCCTTCGATCGATGGCCTTCCGCTTGGCGCCTCCGCTCCCTCCGCCCCCCGGAGCCCGACTAGATGCTCTGCCGCACCCTGCGTGTGCGTGCTATTTTGTTTCTTTAGGGCTTGTTGAGCTGTGCCCTCAGCATTAAACCTTTGACTACTTGACTGTACTAGACCTTTGTGTGTGTGTGTGAACCTTGTTGGATGTTTGGCTTCAGTAAAGGATAAGTATCCAACATCTTGACAAACGAAAAACATTAGCAGAGTAATACTGTCTTCACCGAAGCTTCAGATATATTCAAATAAACTAATCCTTCATCAAACAAGTAGCAAGATATGTATGTGATTTAACATGCATGCCAATGTGAAATGAAGACTATATCATGTAGAGCCTAGTTGCCTTCTTCCACAGTTCCAGTAAAGCCAAAGGACAGGTTCTTTTGAGCTCAGCATATCCATGGCTTGCTATTATATCATCCACTTTACCCAAAGAGGCAATAAATTCAATGCAAGCATCAGTCAACTTGTTGTAGTGATGCTGATCAGCCAAAACCAGTGTAGTCACCACGGTCTTCACATCTATGTTCTTGCAAAGGATGCTTTCACATATGATCTTCAGTCTTTCCATGGCATACCGATCCGCGGCTACAAGCAAATGTCCAATAATCTCTTTGTACTCATCTTGATATTGGTAAAGATCATCCATGGTGGGCAACGAATCGGTGTATATAAAATGGAGCAGGGCCTCGAAGACTAGAGGTTGCATGTCGCCGATGATAACACAACCCATATCATTTTCCCTCAAGGCACCGTACAACTCTTCCTTAAACACCGGCGACCGCATCGCGAGCACTATCTTGTGCGCAGGAAAAGCCTCCCCTTGAACCTCGAAGGTGACATCGCTTCCCTCTTTCCGTTGCCACAACTTCCTGAGGTGATCCGTGATGTCGGATGGCGGCAACGGCACCTCAGCAAACGATTTGGGCGCTTCCGTGCAGATAGTGATGGCACACTCAATTGTGAGGCGATCGCTGTGAAGGTAAGGTGACACCTCGAGCTTGCTCTTCTTCATGCACTCGGGATGGCCGAAGCACGTTCGGTCGCCAGAGTCGAATTCTGCGGCGACCGTCCTCATCGTACGAGGCGGCGTTGATCCTGTGATGTCCACCAAACTGAGCTCGAAGGTTGCCCTCACCTTGGCCTTCTTGCTGACTAAAAAGAGATAGACCGCCACATAGCCTCCGGAATGCCCAAGCACTCCTTCCTCATAGAAACGAATCTGCCAGTTGTAAGAGCCGACGGTGAATACTTCCGATGATTGTACGTCGAGGCTAACTCGGCCGTACCCTGAGACCTCGAACACGAGCGAGCCCCGCCCTGCACGTCACGTGGACGCCGTGCATCCCATCGCCGCCTCCGTTGCCCGGTTGTCTTGTTCGTGGCCGGGGTGGTGGCCGGTGGCGGGGGAGAAGAGTTTATTAGGGTTTCTTATTAGGGTTTGCATTTGTATGGAGGGTTGGACCGGGAAGCGAAAGGAAAGAGGGTTGGGCCGGGAAGCGGAACGCGCTTCGCTATACTCTCTAAAATCGGGCCCAGGAATCCAAGTCGAATTCCTCCTTAGGACCGAATCAAATCGTGGGACGTCCTATACGCCGCTCTCTGGACGTAGCTGGGAACCGAACCTCGTACATCATGATACAGATCAGGCGCGGCCACCGACTAACCTATCACGCGTTACCGACAAGTTTGCAGCGTCCGTTTTTAAGAATCAACCCCACACAGCAGATCCGAATTACTTTCAGCATTTTAAAAGATTATTTTAAACTAGGTGTTTTCTGAATGCAAACACTTTTCAAATTGGGGAATTGCTTAAAAAATGATTTCTTTTAGAAAAGCAGGAACATTTTTCGAAATCACAAACAATTTTTCCCAAAACAGGAACAATTTTTGAAATTCCAAAAGAAAATTGGGCAAATGCAAACATTCTTTAAACTCCTGAACAAATTTGAAAACACGAACATTTATTTGAAATTTGTGAACATTTTTAAACGGGAACATTTTTGGAAACTCCAAAAAATGAAAACATGAACATTTTTTAAAATACGGTACAAGTTCTGAGAAGTTGTGTATTTTTTTAGCAGAAACATTTGGAACATTAAAAAAAACACAAACAATTGTTTTAATACACGAATATTTTTTGAAATTATGAACAAAATTTAAAAAAAAAACTACCTTCAATTTTATCATCTTTAATAAGCTAAATTTTTTTTTTGAAATTTGTGAACAGTTTTCAGAAAATAAAAATAACTTTTAAAAACAATTTTTTTAATACACGAACAAATTTTGTTAAATACGAACAAGTTTTGAATTTATGAACATAATTTTAAAACACTAAAATTTTGAATTCTGATATGTTTATAAACGCACAAACATTTTACAAAAATTCCAAACTTTTTCTGAAAATAATATAAAAGAAAAAAAATAGAAAAGAAACATAAAGGAAAAAACGAAAAGAAAAAGAATCAAAAACAGAGAAACCAAAAAAGAAGCAGAAACCAAAATTTGAAGACGCGAACATATTTTGAAATTCACGAAAAAAGTTTGAAAACAAGAACATTTTTTGAAACTTGTGAACAATTTACGAAATTTGGATATTTTCTGAAACTCCGAAATAATCAAAACATGAACATTTTTGGCAATTCACGAACAATTTTTTAAAATGGGACCTAGTTTTGTACCGCCCGAACATCTTTTGAAAAGTTGTGAACATTTTGAACAAATGATTTCACAATATTTTTTTAAATAAGAACATTTGTTGAAAGTCTCGAGCATTTTTTTAATTTATGAACATTTTTTGAAAAACAGCCATTCTTTGAAATTTCAAACGTTTTTTATGAACTTAGTTTAAAAAAGATAGAATAACCTTGAAAAGAAAAAAGAAAAATAAACAGAAAAAAAAAAGAAAAAGCAACAAAAACAGAAGGAAAAAACAGAAAACCGGTCAAAGAAACAAAACCGGCTGGCTAGTTGGGGTTGTCATCCACGTAACTGGGCCGGCCCATAGTGTCGCTGCACGGTCGCTCGCCTGTGCGAAGCGCCGGCAGTTTGGCGCAAAGCGCGTCAAATAGGAAATTCCTCAAATCGTCTCGACGTCCCGTTAAAAGCCAACATCAATTGGACCTCCCAAGCACCGAAGCGCTGGCACCGACGACAAACTACTAGTTCCTCAGATTATCCACGGTAATGCCTAATACACTTGTGAATATCCACTAGTTAATACTCCCTTCTTTAGTGATCTGTAAAAGTTCTTATAGTAGTTTACAGAGGGAGTACCATATAATCTTGGAGGAACTCTGACTTCCCATATTCAGTTTTACAAATGGGGCCCCATCAAATGTGCAAAGCAACATCATCAAACCATACCCATGGGAATTCAATCTATAAGAAGGCGAGGTCCCGCGTTAAATTGGAAGGCCTTCCAAATGTATGCCAAATTTCCCTTTTTCTGATATACAGTTGAGTAGAACTATAACTTGTAATCTCAAGCATCTATATTCCGTTGACGCAGGATGTGATGTGAACAATTCTGTCAAAGTTGCCTCCTAAAGAGATTTCAAGGGCCGGTGTTTTGTCAAGTCACTTGATATATGTGTGATATTTCTTGCCACAAATTATGTTTCACTTGTGCTGTTGGGTGTTGCCGTGATAGTTTTTCAAGAAAAGAATATTGTGAATACATGCAGAAGTTCATTAATGATGGCAATGCAATTTTGAGAAATTTCCATGGCACGGTGGTCGAAGATTTCCATGTCAAATTTGAATTTGGCATCATGTTGGCTACTCATCTCAATAACTGAGTTGATTTTTCTGTGTCGTCATAGACAAAGAGCATTGCTATCAACTTATGTCCTGTTAACAAGGCAGTTTGGGATATCTTTTGTTACATATTCCCATTTCATCTTTTGGATACTGAAAGCATATCACGTCTAGAATGTATTCAACTTAGCTTTGTATCCTTCAGACAACCATTCGAATTCAATTGTTTCCCAAGCCTAAGAAAGCTTGACCTGGAATTCATGGATATCACTAGAAAAGATCTTCAGGTCATATTCCAATTGTTGGTATCTTAAATGGCTAAGCTTAGTCAGATGCTTCCTGGATGGCGAACTAAAGTCGGATCGTCCGTTGTCCCACCTACGACACCTAACATTTATACGTTGTAGGCTGACCAGGATAGAACTTATAGTTCTAAAATTGGATACCTTTCAATAATTCATTGTTGAGGAAATCGTTAACTGGTAGCTGCTCGGTTGGCTGGCGAGTAGGGGATTAATAGGCTAATCGGCAAGTTAATCGGCCATTTAATCAATTACTCGGGTGATTAATCGGTTAATCGGCTACTCGGTGACCCTACGAGTAGGGATTAATCTGCAAGTTAACTGGTTAATCGGATGAATTCTTGAACAGGGTTCAATATGATGGACCCAATCTTCTTATTGTTATAAATCAAGACTCGAAGCTGGAAAATGCAAATATATGTTTCTCCATGACAAATTTTCAAGACGTTGTCGGTACACTTCTCAATGGTATTTCGAGCATGGAAAATTTGGCGCTACAGATTTTTAACCCACGGCTAGAGGTTTGCTCCTGCAATGCCCTTGATGTTACAATTAAGTTTATGTAACATCGTCTAGGCAATCACCTTTGTTCTTTTGTCTTGCAGACGCCATTAGTGTTGAATAGCACATGCTTGTTTTCCCATCTTAAGTGCTTACAATTGTTAATGGGTATAACAGCTGAAGATACCGACAAGCTTCCAAATGTGGTTTCCATTCTTAGGACAACTCCGTTTATTGAGAAGTTAGAGATCCATGTAAGTACTCTTCTTGATTCTTATATATGCTACTCGTAATAGATTTCCTTTTTCTTTTGGCAGCACATTCTATTTGGTTTTAGTCCTATTATCTTGTTTCTGTTTGTGGTAGTTTATTATTTACTTCTTTCTGGGATGGAAAGGAAAATAATAACGTGCTATACAAAATAGCCGCCTCCGAAAATATGCTGTTAGCGAGACATTGTACACCGATCGATTTAGCAAGACAATTCTCTACACACTATAGCGTGCTATTAACGGCGCTATAGAGCGCTTTTTTCAGTGGGATCGATGCAAAAAATTGTATCGCAAGCAATTGAGTTGGACACCAAAGTTCAAATGGTGGGACCTTAATACATGTGTAATGGATTAGCATGTATAAGTGCTAATCATATATACTACCATGTTTTCATCTTGCAGTTCACTGTCGGTTGTCACCTTTGTTTTGCGGACAAGGGTACTCCGGGCAATCAGCCCCTTCAACAGCGTGAATATAAGTATCTGAAGAGTATACACATGACAGGATATAAAGGAGCAGGAGATCAACATGAACTTCTTCTACATGTTGTGGAGAATGCCCTTGCGTTGGAGGTATTAAGGTGGAGATAGCTCAACGGCTTGATCAAGATTACTACGCAAATGTATTTTGCAAGAAAAAGCGTTGCTCCGAGCGTGTTGCTCTGCATGCTATATCTTGTCTCAATGCAAAACTTTCCCCAAAGGTGAGCTTTACGTCATGTAGGTAGGGCTGCTTTAGAGGAAGCAAGTTTGTATTATACCAGTAAGTGTGTATGTGCAATGTGCGTCTTGTTGAAATGCAAAATTTGAATTTCTGAAAGCACAAGTGCTCCCTGGGTGATTTTGGTAATTAATGTCAACATATCTCTTGTTGGACTAATACTTTTATCTAGTATATTTCAGATGAGTTCAACAGTGGAGTGGCGTGGACAAGAGTATGTGGAACCCCTTCAATATGCTAAGGACAGAACATTGGCAAAAGCTCAAAGCTCAAGACTCTACATTTTCATTTTACTGATCCAAGATCACATTGAGTCCACAGGAAAAGCCAATACTATTAAAAGGGAGTGAGGTGTTGCTTAATGGCTTGCTTGCTCAAAGTGCTTAGTGATACGCTCCAAAGCCCTAAACCACTTTCTCATATCCATATATGTCCTAAATCTAAAGTCAAACTCGGCCCCACCGATTTGATCTGTCTAGCGCCACCGAGTTCATTTGACATAGCCACTGCCAGAAATCCTAAT